AGTGCATGCTAGGGGCTGCTGGGTAGAAAGAGCCTGGCTTGTCTGAGGAACTGAAAGACGGCTAGAGACTGCGGGAGGGGCAGAGCAGGAGAGGAGGTGGGGTGGGGTTGGGGTGGGGGTGGGCCGGGCCTGATCTGTCCCCCAGCAGCCCCAGGAGGGGTGTCATGGAAAGCCACTGAAGTGTTTTAAGCTGGGGGGAGGGGGGACAGATACTGCTGGTGCGGGAGGGAATGTGGATAGAATGCACATTTATTTAGCACCTACTGTGTGCCAGGCACTGAACCTAGTTCTCTAGCCTTGTTTCACTTAATTTCCACAATGTAATGAGGCAGGTCGTATGAGCTTCATTATGTGATGGACAAATAGAGGCTCAGAGAGGGTCACGCTGCTTGCTAAGTGGCAGGATGAGGAATCTGGACACAGGCCTGTCCAGCTATAGACTCTGTTTGCCATCCCACACTTTCTTCCACGCAGGACCGTGGTCCCCCGTGACCCCTGGCACCAGTTCCTGGTGGGACAGGTGAGTCCTGGCAGCTCCTGGAGGGCTCAGAGGAGCTCAGTGCTGCTGTGCAGGGGGTGGAGGAGACGCAATGTCTGCCCAGTTCCCGAGCTTAGGCCCGGCCTAATCGCCTTTGCTTGAGGTCTTAGCAGAGGCAGCAGAAATGCACCTGCTTGGGGAGCGGCCCCCACAGAGCTCCTGAGTTGGAAAGAAGGCCCTTAGGGGCCCTTTGTCTGCTTACGCAAATCAGGAACCCGCAGCCCAGAGGGGAGGCCACTGCCCCCACCCCCGGGAGGGGGTTGGCACAGTCAGAAAGCCGTAGAGTGGGTATCAGGATCTCAATGCCAAGGCCACTTTCACAGTCCTTGCAGGCCTGGCCTGGGGCCTGCTGTGGTTCACCTCTGGGTCTGGCCTGGGCTCGGTGCATGGTGGCTTCCCCCACCCCCACTATGTTCTCCACGCCATGGCCAGAGCGAGCCCCTTAAGAACCAAGGTCCGACAAGGAGACTCCAGGTCCAAATTCTGCTCCAGACCCTTGCTCTGGCTGTTCCCTCTGCCTAGAATACCCTTCTGCCCTCTATCCAAATGGCTGGCTCCTCCCTTCCTCCAGGTGTCCACCTCAGAGAGGCCCTCCCTGACTTTTTGAAAACCTGGCTGGTGCAGTAGTTTAAGCCCCACCTGTGATGCCGGCATCCCATATGGGCCCCTGTTCAAGTCCCGGCTGCTCCACTTCTGATCCAGCTCCCTGCTAATGCACCCAGGGAAGCAGTGGAAGACGGCCCAAGTGCTTGGGCCCCTGCACCCATGTGGAAGACCCAGAAGAAGCTCCTGGCTCCTGGCTTTGGATCAGCGCAGCTCTGGCCATCTCTCTGCCCCTCTGTAACTCTGCCTTTCAAATAAATAAGTCAATTTTAGAAAAAAAAAAAAAACATCACGCCCAACAGGAGCCATTCCCTATCCCAGCTTTCTCCTCTCTCCTTCCAGTTTACTGCAGGCTGGCCATCCGCGTGTTTCACATGCTTGTTGAACCTGCAGGCCGCCTGCCTCCCTAGAACGGAAGCTGCACAGGGCAGGCGTTCTGTCTGCAAAACTATTTCCTGTCCACCCAGCAAGCCTGGCTCCCAGTGTTTCCAAAGTAACTGAATGACAGACACCAGGGCCCCCAGTCACAGGGAGCAGCCTGGCCAGGAATTCTCCACGGAGCCTCCCTGCTTCTCCCCCAGCCTGCCTGGATCCCACAGAAGGCTCTTGGGTGGACAGGGCCCCCGCGCTCACTGAGGGCTGCATCACTGGAATCGTTGATGACCCAAGTGGCAGGCGCAGCTGAGTGTTAAGTGGGAAGAGCCCGGGGGAGCGTTCCGGGTTGGCTGCGGGGCTCCTGGGCCTCTCTTGTGCAGCTAAGCCATCAGCAGAGTCCGCAGTGATTCAGCCTGACTCACAGCCCCCACCCTGGGCTCTACTGGGGGACGCACGGGGGGGCCTTTAGGCTCCACAGCAGGTGCCAGCCATGTGGGAGAGGATCAGAGACAGGTGGGCCGACTGGGGCACAGAGACTGAGTCAGACCAAGGAGGATCTGTGCACAGCGGGGGCATTGAGAAAAGTAAATTAGGAAGCAGAGCCTGAGGCATCGAGAAACTAAAGGGGAAAGACAGACAGACAGACAGACAGCAAGCCTGGGGCCCAGTGTGGTAACGAGAACATGAAGGTGCCGGGTGGTGATTCGCTGAGCGGGAGACACAGAGACAGTGGAATGTAGACAGCCCTCACGTCTCCGGGTTCTGCATGCCCAGATTCAACCAACTGCAATCGAGAATGTTCGGGAAAAAATAATAGCTTGCATACTATACAAGCGCTGATTCCCGCCCCCCTTCTCATAATTCCCTAAACAATATAGAGGAACAGCTATGTACATGGCACTTACTTTGTTTTAGGTATGATAAGTAACCTCGAGGTGATGTAAAGCATGCTTGGGCGGGCGTGCGGGTTGGCGGCTAAGACACCGGTTTAGACACCTGCTTTCCCTGCTGGAGTGCTCAGGTTGGGGCCCCAGCTCTGCTCCTGCTTCCAGCTTCCTGCCACTGCACACCCTGGGAGCCAGCAGGTCTAGTACCAGGTCCCTGCTGCCCACGTGGGGAGACCTGGCCCAAGCTCAGCCATTGGGGGAGTGAATCAGTGGATGCGAGATCTCTGCCCGCCTGCCTATGTGTCTCCCTGCCTCTCAAAATAACTAATAATTAAAAAATGAAGTGCATGGGGGGGTGTGCCCAGGGAATAGCAAATACTATGGTGATTTCGGTAAGAAACTTGAACATCTGCGCGGGGCCTGGAACGGAACCCCTCCCGCTAGCGAGAGAAGTCTGTGCAGGCACTCCCGGTGCTGGCTGAGGGGTAGGAGCTAAGCCATTGGCTCTGCAGCCCCCTGCAGGGTGCAGCTCTCTACTCTGCTGCCAGCTGACACTGGTGACCTGCCTCGGGTTCCTCATCTGTAAAATGCAGGTTCTCATACGGTGGTTACAAGGAAGCACCCACAGCAGTGTCCGGGACACAGTGGCCACTCAGGAAGCCAGGGCCACGTTCACAATCATCAGGAGGGTGGGGGACAGACTGTGCCACAGGGAGCAAGGGGACGGAGACAGAGTAAAAGAGGGAGAGAGAACGAGATGGTGCGGGGCATGGGGGGTAGGAGGAATGGGTGGAAAGGACAGAGAAGAAACAGGGGGTAGAAAGGGAGTGGGGTGCAGGGGGGAGGGAAGGTGAGAGGGAGGCAGGTGCAGGACCCCTCCTGGGGCTGCTGGGAGCCCCTTGTGATCAAGATCAATGCCCCTCAGGCCTCAGCATCCACAGCTGTACCCAGCCCGGGGCCTCCAAAAGCCTTGCCCGCGGCCCAGGGAGCATCAGGCAGCCGTTGCCAAGGTTACCTGTGCAGCTGCTCCCGAAGTGCCCGCAGCTCCCCCTCCCGCTCCTTTAGCAGCTGCTCCTGGCACCGGGCCTGCTCCTGGGCCTGTTGGAGTCCATGTCTGAGGCTCTGGGGGGCGGGAGGAAGACCAGGGTAAACTGAGGGGGGGAGCCAGAGACCCCAGGTCCAGGGCTGACTGGCCAGACCTCCCTTGCAGGCAGGGCAGGACTGGTGCAGCGCTGGGAGCTGGGATGCCTGGTTCTGTCCCAGGCCTGGCCTCGGATAAGCCTGAGGCCACCCCTTCTTCCTTCACTGAAGGATGGGGAGTCCGAAGCTCACGGAGCTTGGAGACGCTGCTGGGGAGGGCTTGGTAAGCTCTTGGGCTGCCTTTGGGAGAAGCATCCACAACCAGAATGACTCAGAGGGGTTTGTAACAGTAGGACTTAGACACTGGGAAGATACCTGCAGGGAATATGGACCCTGAAGAACTGTGGGGAAAGGATCTCAAACTCAAATGCCTACAGGGGCTCAGCAGGAGGTACTGACAGAGTGTGAGGCAATAGGGAGAGGTGGGGACTGCGGTGAACTGAAGAATGCCGGGCTTTGAAAAGGCATCCCCAAATAGTAAGCACATGCAGGACGGCAGAAATTGATCTGTGGGTCCCCAGGCCACCACTGCAGACTCCCCACTTGTGGGCCAAGTGACAGAGGGGAAGGCAGACAGGTACGGAGCTCAAGTTGCTCTCACCTTGACCACAGCCTGCAGGGACTTGTCTGCTTGCTCCTCCCTCCGGGCCACACTGGTCACTCCTGTTTGCTCTGGCTGCTTCTCCGTGGTGGGGTCTTCCTCTGTTCCCAGGGTCTCCCTGACAACACCAGGCCCTCCCCACTTCTGCCTGCTCTCTGATGTTGCTTCCCGAGTCCCCTGTGTGGCTTTCTGACCCTCCGCACCTGGCAGAACCCCTCTACCCTCAGCCTGTCCCTGGCTGCTGGCTGCTGACGTCTCCAGGGAGACCCCTGTCCTTGGGGCTCCCTCCCCCTGCTCTGGCCGAAGTTCCTCTCCCTCTGGCTCCCACGTGCTGTGGGGGCAGCCGAGGCTGCTGGCATCTTCTCTCTTTTCCAAAAAGGGGGAAAGATGCCCATGTTGTTGGGGTCTCAAGGGTCCAGCCAATGGGGCATCCCTGGTGGCATTTCTCAGACAGCTGGTGTGACTGGAGTGTGGCTCCTCCAGTGGGACTCCTTTGGGGTCTCCAGGCGTGTCTGGGATCTGCAGAGAAGCCCCCATGCCTGTCACCCCTCTCAGCACCCACACTCCTGCCTCCCGTGCCCTCCCACTTCTCAGCAGCCCGGGAGCCTGAGTTTCAGCCCCCTGGGGATGTAAGCTCCCAGCTGTGACCTCTCCACACCCTCTCCCCCTTGCCTGCAGCCCACCGCCATCTCCCTCCTCCACCTGCGTCTTCCACATTGGCCTGATTCTCCCCGTTCATTCTCGGCCCTGAACTTGACTTCACGTTTCCGTTTTCTCACCTGCAAAGTGGGGATGACACAGCTTGGTTTATAGGGCTGCGATGAGGGTGCAGACGGGCCGACCGTCCCCTGCTCCCTGCTCGTGGGTCTCTCTGTTCGTTTCTCTATCATTGCTCTTTGCATGTGTTGCAGGGAGCGGTCTCCCCACACAGACCTTGAACTCCTGCAGGCCAGAGCCTCAGTCCCAGCAGTATCTGTGCCTGGAAGCTGGCGGGGTGCAGCGTGGAGCTCGTGGGGGTGCTGATAGCCACAGGCAGCCAGGCAAGAGCACGTGGCCAGGGGCCTCGCTCTGTGCTGCTCATGAGTTGGCTCAGTTCACACCCATGACCACTCTGAGGCAGGCCAAGGAACCTGCCCAAAGGCCGTGCTTAGAGAGGGGTGGAGCTGGATTTGATCCAGAAAATTTGGCTCTTTAGTCACTCCCCAAACAGAGCCAGACAGCACGGCGGGAGGGGGGGGAGGGGGGGAGGGGCGGGGCTCAGCAGGGGCTGTCTCCCTCATCTGCTTGCAGTCCCCCTCCCCGGTACCTCCCCCTCCCTGGGGCCCCAGTGCCCCCACAGATGCTCCCCCTACCCCCAACCCCCCAGGAACGTGAGCTCTCGGCTCCCCAGTGGCTCCCAGGCCCCTGGTGCACATGGGGGTGTTCCTCTGTCTGTCCTATTGGGCCAGTGCTCCCTGTACACTCAGCCTGGGTCCCAAGCAGTCAGGGGAAGGAGCCACTCAGAGAGAAGGCAGAGCAGAGGCACCTCTTTGTGCGAATTCTTGGCTTTCCTGGGTCTTCTTCCCTGGGTCCGATGGGAATCGGAGCAGCGTGATCTGAAAGTGGAAGAGGCAGGAAGACCCTGGGCCCCTCGCCAGCAGTGGGCTAGTACACCCCATCTTTCTAACTGCCCACTCAGCCCACCACCCTCTGGCCCCTCATGCATCCTGCTCTCCATCCTTCCACCTGTCAGTCCCTCATCCATGCATTCCATCCCGGCTCCCCACCCTCCATTCTTCCTTGCAACTCTCGCTCCAATCATCCAGCAAATTCCCGGTGACTGTTTGCTGCAGCATCACGGATGGCAGCAGGTCACATGGTGGAAGCAGAGGACCCGAGCTCCAGAAGCAGAAGAGAGAGAGACGCAGGTGGGGCTGGAGGCTGGGCGCTTGGGGCTCGCCTGGGCTGCAGGACAGCAGCAGGAGCAGGCAGTGGAAAGAGGCTTCTCCCCACGCTGCACCACTCACTCTGAGAACATGGGCCAGGCCCCATCCAGGTCCGGCCGCTGCAGGTCCAAGTCGAAGGTCACCCCGTTGAGAGCATAGAGAGAGTCCAGGATGTTTTCCTGGAGTTCAGGGCACAGCAGAGGGCTCCGAGGGCCATACCATTCCCTGTGTTAGCGAGGACCGGCACCCTTGACCTTTGACCTGCTATTGCCATCTCCCCCCACCTCCCCAGAGTCAGCCTCACTGCACACCATGATGGACTTGCTCCCTGGTAGGGCTGGGGTCCTTATGGAGCAGGAGGCAGCACCATGATGCTTCCAGGGCTCCCCCTGCCCTGTCTATCCTGATTTCTCTTCCAGATTCCTTCCCATCATGCTCAGCGTTAAGCCACCCAGTCAGGGTGGAAGAGGACTCTTTCATGAAGGAGGGCACAGGGGCTCAGGTGGCACCCACAGGAAGATGTCCCTGCCCCCTGACCTGGTGAGTTCTGGGCTCAGGAGGCAGAGCTGCAGGGACTCGGCCAGCTGTCCGTGGGCCAGGCAGAAGCGGATGAAGGCACGGCCTTTTCCCAGTGAGCTCTTCAACTGCAGGTGCACGGGGCAAAGGAGGGAGAGGGAGAGGATGAGGGGGCTCTGCCATTGCGGAGGGAGAAGACAGGAGCGGGGCTTGTAGGCGGTGGGAAGAAGGCGAGGCTGGAGGGGTGCTGAGAGCAAGGCCAGCGGGAGCTGAGACCAGCTGGGGCCTCGGGTAGGTTGTTATTCCCCCACCCAGCCATGTCCAACAGGAGCCGGGCGGTGGCGCCCTGTCATGCTCCCGAAGCCGGCCTTCCTGCCCCTGCCCCTGGATACCTTGTTCTGTGAGCCAACGAAGCAAACCGCCTCCGTGTCACCTCGCTGCCGCCGCAGGGCAGTGCAGAGGAAGTCCCAGTAGTCCTTGCGAGGCCCCAGGAAGCTCTTCTGCTCTTTCTGGTCAAACTGGGACCAAGAAGAGGGGAAGGGGAGTGTGAGGGAGCTTCCCTCTAGGAGCCACCTTGCGTTCCAGCACGTGGCGCTCACCTGAGCTAGGGGAAGGGGCGAGTGCACACAGACCCAGCTTCCTGTCCTGGCTCTGCCCTCACTGGGTAACTGGGAGCAACCTGCTCGGCCTGGCTGAGCCTCAGAGTTCTCACCCATTCATCCACGCATTGAGCACTTACTATGTGCCAAGGCCTGTTCTAAGCTCGGAGAGGGGGAGGTTACAGCAGTGACAAAACTGACCCCCAGGAGGCCAAGGGACAAACTGACCTTATCCCCACCTTGATAGGAGAGACAGAAGGAGCAGACCAAGTGAATAAAACATCAGTGTGTTAGATAGTGTTGACTGCAATGGAGAAAACAAAACGGGGAAAAGCATAGCATGTGGGACGCATATGTGTGTGTACACAGTGTGTTGAAAATGTAGATTAGGGGCCGGCACTATGGCTCAATGGGTTAAGCTACCACCTATGGTGGGGGCATCCCATATGGGCATCAGTTCAATTCCTGGCTGCTCTGCTTCCAATCCAGCTCCCTGCTAATGCATGTGGGAAAGCAACCGAAGACGGCTCAAGTGTTTGAGCCCCTACTAGCCACATGGGAGACCTGGCTCCTGGCTTCAGCTTGGTCCAGCCCTGACCCTCCTGGCCATTTGCAGAGTGAACTAGCAGAGGGAAGGTCTCTCTCTGTCTCTCCCTTTCTCTCTGTAACTCTACTTTTCAAATAAATATTAAAAAAAGAGAAAATTTAGATTACGATAGCCAGAGAAAGCCTGTAGACCTGAAGAGAATGAGAAAGTGGGTCATGCAAATTTGGGGGGTGGGTAACAGGTGCAAAGGCCCTGCGGCAGGCACATGCCTGGTGTATTTGAGGAAGATCCAGGAGGCCAGGGGAGCTGCAGTGCAGTAGATGAGGGGCAGCGTGGCAAGGGGTGAAGTTAGAGAAGTAGGAGGGGTGTCCATGTGGGGGGGAAGGTCACCAAGCACCTCCAAGTCTTAGAATGAGGCTTAAATAAGGTGGGTCACAGAAATAGCAAAGCCTGTCATATAGAAAGTGCTCAATAAAAGCTACTGCTAGTTATGATTCAGGCTCCACTCTGCAGCATGAAGGCCACCCCACTTCCCAGGCTGCAAGGACAACCGGTGGGAATGAGCTTAGGTGTCAGGAAGGCCTTGTTGCCTCGGAGGGAGGTGAGGCGTGCAGTCAACCTTCCCTCTGCACCCGGGACAGCTCTCCTGTTATCTGGGCCTGGGGATGGGGCTGGGGAGGGAGCAGAGGGCCCCACCTGTAGCAGCAGCTCCAGGCAGCCGCAGAGTCTGTGCAGCTCAGCACTGGCATCGGTCACGGGCCCCTGGCTGTCCCCGTAGGCCTGGAGGATGGCAGAGACGGCAGCTGTGGGGAGGAAGGCACACGTCAACCATCAGGCAGTGAGGCCCGTGAGGGAGAAGCTCCCAGAAAGCCTCTCAGCACACACTCACCTTAAAAAAAGATTTATTTACTTATTTGAAAAGCAGATTGAAAGGCAGAGATACAGAAAGAGAGCGAGAGAGAATCTTTCATCCACTGCTTTACTCCCCACATGGCCACAACAGCCAGAGCTGGGCCAAGCTGAAGCCAGAGACCAGGAGCTTCTTCCGGGTCTCCCATATGGGTGCAGGGGCCCAAGCTCTTGGGCTACCTTCCACTGCTTTCCCAGGCCACTAGCAGGAGCTGGATCAGAAGTGGAGGAGCCGGGACTCGAACCGGTGCTCATATGCCGGCACTGCAGGCAGAGGCTTAGCCTTCCACACCACAGCGCCAGCCCCCACACACTCACCTTTCAGGTCCCTGGTCACCTTGAGGACGCTCCCTTCTTCTGCCATGGTACCTGGAAACATTAGGATTCCCACGTCTGCCCAGGAAGGACCCTCTGGGCTCTGTCTCTTTATACAAGGAGGCATCAGGGCCCAGAGGAGGAACGTGACTTATCTAGGGTCACAGGGTGAGCTTGCTGGTGGGGTGGAAACCCCAGCTCTTTCCTGGGGCCGCCGTGTGAAGAGGATGGTGTGGCCTCCATGGGTGGAGCTGTTGCTGGGAGCCTGGCTTCCCTGGCTCATTCGATGCCCACAGTAACCCTATGAGATTAGTAACCTCATTCTACACAGGAGAAATGGGCAAGGCAAGGGTGGCTTTGTAGCTGACGTCACAAGGCTGTCAGGGGCGGAGTCAGAACTGGCAGTCAGGTGTATGTACCTACAGGGCTGCGATGTCGGCTCTGGGTTGGGGGGTGGAGTTCAGGAGGGTGCTGGACCACCGAGTGCCCTCAGCCTTGGTGCAGCAGGCACCATCTAGAGACACACACTCATTCTTCCCTCGTTCCCAGCTGAGTGGAAAATGTGTGTTCTTTGAACGAGGGAAGCAGAAGTAAAGCGAGGCTCCGTGGCCTGGACGGGGCCCTGGGCTGGGTGTGGGGTGGGGCAGGGGCCTGGCATTAAGCCTGCCCTCCTCCCAGGGGAACCTCAGCTTCATCCCCTCCTGGGCAGCAGCTGGTGGGCTTGTCCCGAGATCCTGGAGACAGGGGACAAGGTAGGGAGTGGGAAGCCCAGAGTCTCACCCCTAGGCAGCAGCTGCTGGAATTTGGGGGAGAGGGGAAGGCGGAGGCCATGGGGGTGGTATTGGAGTGCAGGGAGCAGGAGGTGGGAGTCAAGACACCTGGGTCTGTGTCCTGGCCTGGGCACCTGCTCACTGTGCGTCCTTGGCAAGTCTCACTTTTCTTGGGCCTCAGTCTATCTGTAGACCAAGGGGTTGGACCCAGAGTCTGCAGCCCCCTCTAACTCAGAGTCCTCAGCTGCAGGGACCCTCTCCTGCCCCCACTCCCTCTCCTCCCTCTCCAGTGCCCCCTCTGCATCCTGCCCCTGGCATCTACCCCTTTCCCAGCCATCCCTGAGACCCAGGGCTGTCCCGCCACTCACCTGGCAAGCGTGGCAAGCATGTGAGGCCGGAGCTGGAACCGTCCTAGCGACTGGCATGTCCCCACATTTGCTGCCCAGGAGGTGACTCAACTCTGCCCAGAGAGGGCGGGGCAGAGGCTCCTGGGAGGGGACCAGGCACCAGGGCAGATCTGCGTGAGCGTGTGTGTGTGTGTGTGTGTGTGTGTGAGAGAGAGAGAGAGAGAGAGAGAAAGAGAGAGAGAGAGCTGTTCCCCAAAGGCAGATCGCCAGGGTCTGTGTAGGGGGCACCGGCTCCTCCTCCAAGGTGGCGGCCATGCTTGCAGCTCTGACAGGTTCCTTCCCCTTTTTCATTACTTGCTCTTGAGTTTCTTCCCGCTCACCACCAGGTGGCACAAAGAGGCTGGGGAGCTGCCCCCCTGATGCCTGGGCCATTCTCCACTGTCACTAGGTGCCAGCGAGTGCAGCTGGGGCCGGGGGACGAGGGTCCCGCTGTGTGCCCCCTCCCCCTTTCCACTGCAGCTTGCAGAGGGGTCCCCGTGAGCGCAGGTCACCAGTTTCCTTCGTGCAGGCCTGGGGCCCACTCGTGCAGGATCCGAAGTGAACCCCCTAGTGAGCTGCTGTGTGCAGCAAGGGGCCAGGGAACAGGGGCGGGTGAGCCGTGGTGCCCCCGCTCTGGCTCTGCTCTGTCCTCTTGAGGCTGGGGTGTTTCTCAGCCGGGAACCCGTTTTCCTAGACTGGGCTACTCCAGGAGCTAGGGCTGAGGACAGAGGCGCTGAGCAGGCACCTGCAAGACCCGCACACACGACCCGCGCGCGTCGACGCCCGAGCCTGGCCCTCCCTGCCTCTGCTCCCTGCCTGTCGCCCCGCGCAGAGGCTCCGGCCCAGCTCTGCCGCCCGTGTCCCCGTCTGCCCGTCTCCGACTCTAGTTCTCCCCTTATCTGTTCCCCGCCACTCCCGTCGCGCCGTCCGTCTCCTTCTCGCCCCGCTAACTCTGCCCGCGCGCAGCCAGCCCGGACCCCGGGGCCCTGCCGCCGCCCCTCCCCGCGGCCCCGGTCTCCCTCCGTCACTGGCTGACTCCCCGCGCCGGTGTCACCGCCCCTCGCCAGGCCCCCGCACTCCCCAGCTTCCTGGGAGCGCCCGGACTCTGGCAGGGGCCGGGCCGGGGGCGTCGCCGCTCCGCTCCGGACGTGGCGGGTGCGCTGGGCCGAGTCGTCGCCAAGGCTGGGGGCGGGCCGGCTCCCGGGGCACCCACGTCCCCGCCCCCGGCCCGCCGGACGCCTGGCCCGATGGGCTGCACCGTGAGCTTGGTGTGCTGCGAGGCGCTGGAGCCCGGGCCCACCGGTGGCCCCCAGTCCTCGGGGAGCCCCGCGGCCCCTGTGCGGGCCGAGCGCGGGGGACCCGGGGCGTCCGTACGCGCCGAGAGGAGCCGGCCGCTGCTTCAGGTAGAGCGCAGCGGGAGCGGGTTGGGGGAGGACGCCCAGAGTAGAGGAGCCAGGAGCTGGCAGAGCCCTGCTCACCTGAGACAGGTAAGGAGCTGAGCCAGGAAAGTGCGGGTCAGGCTCGGGAAGCAAGCAGCCAGCCCGGGTTGGAGCAGGACCAGGCGAGGGCGCAGCGTTGGTCTCCTGTGCCCTTGGGAGGAGGGTGGTGTGGGACCTGACCCCTAGACAGGCACGGGCCAGGTGCGGGTGAGGTACCAGCTAGAGTGGGCAGGGCTGGAGTGCTGGGGCCAGGTCTGGAAACCTGTTTCCGGTGAGCTGGTTGGTGGGTGGGGGCGCTGGGGCTATCCTCCTTGACCTGGTCCTATGGCCAGGAGGGAAGGGGCCTTGGGAGCCACGGAGGACCCTCACCCCTGCATTCTCTCTCCTGAGATGTCTTGAGTGTGAGCTGGGAGGCAGGTTTTTGTTCTGGAGGAGAGGTCCCGGGGGGCCTGGAATGGGTCTGGATATGGGAATTCCTGGGGGAGAGGAAGGAGTAAGAGGTACCTGGGGGCCACAGGACTGGTTAACTGTACTGGGGGCTCCCTGCCCACCTCCCTGTTGGGGGCTGGGAAGGTGGCAGCCTCCACAGGCTTATTGTCCATGCTGTGGTCTGGATCATGCTGGGGGCTTACCTTCGTCCACCTGAGGCTCACAGAGGAGGGGCTGGCTCCACCTGCACCCTGTGGCTGCTTCCCAACTCCCTCCTTGCCCGGCTGGGCCTCAAGGGTCTGGGTACCAGCACACTTCACACAGCTTGCAGCAAAGTAGAAGTAAAATATGTTTATTTGCAGCATTTTCTGAAATCCACGCAGAGTATGTGTGTGTGTGTGTGTGTGTGTTGGGGGGGCTCTTCAGAAAGTTCATGGGAAAGGCATATTATGAAAAAAGCTACATAGATGTCAATCTTTGTCACCAAAACAAACTTATCTTTTAATTGCACTTTCCCATGAAGTCCGTGTATGTGTGTGTGTGTGTGTGTGTGTGTGGTGTGTTTGTGTGCCCAGGCCCGAGTGACCCCTGTGCCCTGCGTGACTGGCTGTCTCCCCAGGGCACAGACTGTGGCATGTCTGAGGTTCTATTCTGCAGTGCCAGGTGGGGGCAGGGCACTTGTAACCTGCACACCCGTCCTTGGCCAGCTCTGGCACCAGCCAGCACCCAGAGGGACAAGGTGAGGGGGGTAGTTGTAGCCCGAGCCCTCTTGGTGGCTGGTGTCCTAGGTGCGATTCTGATGGGGCCGTGGGTATATGGGTTGGGCATCCCAGACCACTGCCACTTAGTCCAGAGAATGGGGGTGACCTGGTGGCCCCTCAGAGTCATTGGGATGCCTCCCACTCCTCAGAGCCGCATGACCTGCCCTCCGTCCTGGCAGGTTGGCAGGGAACAGTGGTGGTGGGGGCTGGGGAGAGGCTGCGGCGTCTCTCCCTTATCTGTTGTATCTCAGGTCCTTCTAAGCCACATTTGTTCAATCTCAGTTTTCCCTCTGGGAGCTTGAGGTCCTGGTACCTGGGGGTTGGTGCAGAGAACCCTGGGAGGGGCGTCAGACCTCCAGGCACCGAGATTTGGTTGCCTGGCTCCTGCCCACGGGCTTGGCAGAACTTCTGCTGGCTCGGGCCATGCAGTTCCTTGTTTGCTCTCCTGCTTCTCCGACCTGCCTGAGCCTTCTTTGCTGTCCAGTGTGAGACCTCAGGACTGTCTCTGCTGACCCCTCTGTGTCCCTGACCCCAGCCCCCTGCAGCCAGCTTCGACATGGCTGAGTGGCTGTTGGGCTTGTGGAGGTGTGCAGGACAGGGTGGGGAGGCAGGGACCAGGAGCACTGGAAGTGGGTGATCCAGGAGAGGGGAGCAGGAGGGGGAGGGGTGTGTGTGTGACAGCGGCAGGGACAGGGATGGGGACGGGTGTCTGTCTGCATTCGGATGAGCTGGTTTTGAGTGGCTCTTTGAGAGAGTCTGGCGCTCGCCTGTGACTCACTCCTTCCTTTATCGGCGCAGATAAACCTCCAGCCCAGTCCACGTGCCCTGGCTCCGGCTCCCGGGGGACGCTGCTGCTGGCGGCAGTGCTCTGGCCTCCCCAGACCCCCATTCGCTGTGGTGGGCTGGCTGGGGTCACAGCAGGGGCAGTGGCCTCTCACCTGACCCTCACTGCAGGTGGCTGATACCAGTCCTTGGAGGGGTGGGATGGGGTGGGAGATAAACATCTCTTGGGCTCTCATCCCCCTCTGGGAGCCAGGGCTTAGCAGCTCCCCAGGCGTCTGGGCCAGCAGCCAGGGCACTGTCCCCCACCAGTCATGCTGCAGACACTGCCACTCCTGCCATGGCCCCTCGGGCTGCCTCCTGCCTCATTGGCCTGTTGCCCTCTGCCCCGGCCCTGCTGCCCACCTCCTCTCCCCCCACCCAGAACCCCTGCTGCCCAGACCATGCCTGTAGGCTACCTATCTACCCCGTGCCACTCTCTTCCCTGGCATGAGTCGGCAGCTCCCTCCTCTCTGCTTCGAGGAGGGCTGGCTGCTGCAATGGATTCTCAGAGTGGAGCTGTGGCCCCTGTGCCTTTAAGGTGGCCTTCTCTGGGTCCCCTGCTTGCCCCGTGCTCTGAGCACTCCCCTGGCCCCACGTGCCAGGCTCAGGAGGAAGGAGGGTGGGGCTTGGCACCCCTCTGGTGCATTCCCGCCAAGCCTTCTCTGACCTGGGCGCCAAGGGCCTGGAGGGCACCTCTGGGTGCCAGCTTTGCCTCTTCGCGCTCTGCTGTATCCCAGAACAAGTAGCTGCTTGTCAGGTGGTGGCGGGAGCAGAGGGGAGGAGATTCCAGGCTGCTTCTGTCCTGTCCTATGCCCCTGACGGAAGTTCTGGGTCTGACCTAACTCCGCCTGTGGGTAGAGTTACTGCTGCTTCCTCTCTGGTTGTGTGGAATCGTAGAGCTCTGAGCTGGAAATGTTCTACTTAGTGCTTCCGAGCCTTTTGGGATCACAGTGCCCTACGGGAATCTGATGAGAGCCATGGATGCTCTTGCTGGGCTATGTGCACGCACACGTGTGCACACGCACACACCATGCAAACATATCATGCACCCCGTCAAGTCTACCTCCTGCATCTCACAGATGAGCACACTGAGTGAGTGGCAGAGTCAGGACCACATCCCAGATGTCCTATCCTCAGACAAGTGGGATTTTCTTCCTAGATGCAACTTTCACTCTTCCCAGAAGCTGCTACCCAGTCATCTGTTAAACAGTGGCTCAAGCCGTTCTGAGCACTCACTATGAGTTAGGCACTGAGTTATTAGGTGGGCCAGGGCACAAAGCTGAGAGCCCCTGTTCTTGTTCTTTCCGGGGCAGGGAGGGGGTGTCAATGGACATCGACCCGGAGAGAGATGCACCAGGTGGCAAATGGGTCATTGTCTTACTGAGAACTGTACAAGGGAGGAAAAGCAAAGGCTGCCCTGGGGGACGATCCCAGAGGGACTTAGATGGGAAGGTGGGGGCAGTGGCGTTCGCGAGAGGAGCAGAGGTGGCAGCATTCTGGGAGGTGGGAACGGCATACAGGGATGGGTGGAGCAGAGTTGGGAGCCCTCGCAGAACTGATAAAAGCCTTCCTCTGGCTGCTCATGGCTCGGCATGAGTCCTCCATGCACGCTATGTGTGTCTGGGTTGGAAGTGGAGCGAGGCAAAGCCAGGAGAGCTGGGGGAGGTGGCCTCGGTCCTCTGGGTGAAAGGCGATGGTGTTTGGGGGAAGAGGTGGCTGGCAGCGTTTGGGCAGAGAGAGGCCAGGACTGATTCAGGGACAGGCTTGGGGGTGGGGAGTGGCTCTGCTCATCTACAAACATGGTGGCAAAGAAGTGGACCCCAGGAATGCCTCCACTTCCGCCCAGGGAGGCATTTCACAACGAGAGAGAAGTGTGCACGCTGTTCTAGCAGCTGACACACCTGGGACCCATGGACCCAGCGCTCAGGGTCAAGGTAGAGAGACTTCCCCGGCTTTGTCTACTCCTTTCCAGTCATCCCTTCTGCCGAGGGTGTTGATGACCCCGTCGTGCACACAGCCCGGCTCTGCCTGTTGGAGGGTGTCTCTGTACACTGCACGGCCGCAGCTGGTACTTCTTCTCATCCATGGAGCGCCCTGCCTGCCTTCTTCGCTGCACCTGCCATGGTCGTAGGTGTCTCTGTGTTGGTGTGTAGTTGTAGACTGCTCCCTCTTGTGCCTGTGCACGGGCTGTGGGTCCTTTCTGGGTGGGGCTGCTGTCACTAGCACTGCTGTGAGCGTTTCCGCCCAGGTCTTTGGTTCAATTGTCTGTTCCAGTGGCCGTTGGGTGTCTGCTTCCCTCCATTTTGCTGGCTGAGTTGCCCGAGCATCTGCAGACTGGGAGGACTTGACCTGGGAAGGGAGCACCTTTAGGTCTCTTCATGGAGGGGACGAGAAATCCTCTGGGGAAGGCCAGAAGGTACTGCCCCTTTGCAGCCATCTTTCTCTTCCTGCCTGCTCTCCTCTGCCCCCAGCGAGGGACTTGGGAGAGGAAGAGGAAGAGGCTCTGGGGGCTGCCCTGGAGGGGGGTGGGGGCCAGCTGAGGGCAGGCCTGGCTCCCTGCTAGGGGCAGGCAGGTGTGAGGCTGAGGCTAGGGACGCTCCCTCTATTTTCTTCCTCTTTCCAGGAGGGCGTGGAGCCAGCCACTGCCTCCTTGCTTGATGTATGAACATGTCAAGGGCCGATGCCAAGGGCAGGCATGCTAAGGCAGCCCCCAGAGTGGGAAGTAGAGGCTGCCATCAGCAGAGAGGCCAAGTGGTGGGGCAGAAAGGGGACCCAGGTGGAGCCAAGGGTC